CCTTCTGTTTTCATGAATAACCACACATACTGTATGTTCTAATCTAATTGTCTTCTCAGGTACATATTGTTTCTACTGTGTGTCAAACACATTTGTTTATTCTTTCCAGTCTGGACACTCCAGATTTGAGATGAAGCAAGGGAAGGGGGCTGTCCATATTCCCATGGGAAGAACTTTTCGACCAAGTATAAAGTCAAGGATACTTACACTCTTCTTTTATAAGAAAGTCAAACTATACTCAAATGGATGCTGATGTACAATAAGTTTGTAAGAATCCAAAACATATGCACTACATTATTCTAATAATTGTTAATGTAATTGGCAAATGTTAATATTTCAATTATTGGAGCTAATTAAATTATTTTAAACATAATTTTCAATTTATATATAAACTCAAATCAATATTTTGTCTTTGGACAGTATATTGCTCAGTTCTTATAATTGTTCCTATGAAACATGAGGTCTCAAGAAATATCTGTTTACACTAAATGATAATAGAATTTTTGACAGAGATTGGACCGTAGCCACAGGGAGGTCTGAACCTGATCATCCTTAGATACTCAAACCTATGCATCCTTAAATCACATCAGCTATTCAGACACACCATGGAGATCGCAATTTTGAAGTACAGTCAATCAAAAATTGACATGGGACCTTTTATTATTTTGTAATTTTTATCAAATTTATTCTTTAAAATTTTCATATTTACCAAATAGTGCTTTATCATATGAACCATCACTGAGCCAGACCTCTTTGCAAAATTCACATCCTTGAAGCATGATTAAGAAAATCTCAAAAGAGAGACACTGGGGTTCAATCTAAAGATCCGAGAAGCAAAACAGTCAGCCACCGGCTTTTACCTCGACCTCAGTTTGAAATGGTGATCCTGACTCCATGAATCTCAGAATGAAACTGTGTCTGAGAGCTGCCTCTCTGGGGCTTGGATTAAAGGCATGCACCACTGTGATTTAAGGCATGCACTTACCCCTTTCTATGGCAACTAATATGACTATTTGATTAAAGCACACTATGTAGTTTCCATCTAGATGTTGTTAATATTTCTTGCTACACATACACCAACCACTCATTTTCTCCACTAATTTCTTTGGGATAGTGATCAGCAAATGTTCAGTGAAGTGGCATCCACTTGTGTCTTTTATTTTCTAACTTTTGGAAAAGCAATGAAACTTTTAGGATTCTAGGTATTAGCTTTTATTTAACCTCATGAAATTTCAGAGAGGTCGTAGAAGGTGACTGGAGGTTTACATAGAATAGACAGTACTCTGAATAATGATAACACAAATTAACATGCCAACTTGACAAAGAAGAGCCCAGAAAAACTAAAATGTACACAAAGGACTGTATGCTATTGAGGAAATCTGGAAAAAGTATTGTCATTCTCAGGGAAGAGCACACAATTTTTTATTTAGTACCAATAGACCTGCTTTGAAAACATATGTGCAGGTATTGTTAAAAGAATTGTCAGGTTATATTTAAGAATGAATATGTATTTGTACACATATATTCACCCAGGAATAATTATAGAAAAATGAGTTCACAAATATGAGAGAGAATGTTTAGAGGTATATGGGAGAGTTTGAAAGAGTAATGAGAAGGGAGAAATGTTGTAATTAAACTATAGTCTCAAAAGCAAAAAGAAACAATAACCTATTATATACAAACAAATGCAAACACCCATATTTATAAACAAATATGCACACACATTTGCATACAAACACATGGATGCTCCCAACACACAGTCACACACAAAAAGAGAAGACATGGTTCTCAAAATTAGCACAGAATAATTTGATTATGAATAAAATAGGATTTTTCAGAGTATGGAACGTGGCTTTTTTCAAATATATAATATTTATGTCTTTTAAAATGAGTAAAATATTTTAAAGAAATGAAGTCACCATAGAAATCATAATAGTGTTTGTATTCTGTGTGTTACCTACATGCACACATGGGTTCACATATCACACCAAACTGTATGTTCATACACACACACACAGCAAAATACATATATGCAGTGTGCATACACACAATGAAGAGAGTAGTCAAAGCTAGCTTAGACAGTGACTGTAGGGATGGATGGATTTTAGATCATGTTATGGAGGATTGATTTTTACAAGCACACAATATTTTCACATTTGAACTGAATAAGTTATTTTAAAGAAATGAATACACCAGAGAAACCTTAGTAGAGTTTATTCTCTGGATGTCACCTGCAAAAACACATGTGTGCCTTCTCCACATGAAAATTACTCTTCATTCATACACACACAAACACATACACACACAGAGCATACATGCATGACAGAGAGACAGAGAGAGAGAGAGAGAGAGAGAGAGTTTAAAAATACATAACAAATTTGACAGTTTCTTTTTCTAAAACACCTCTCAAATTTTTGATTCATGACACTCCATTCTCACTGGGTATTTGGCATCATTCATTTCTTTAGTGCAAGGAGATATAGGTACGACACCTTAATATTCATAAAGTTCTAATCCAGGGTGATGGTTCATGAATATAATCAAGACACTTGGCATAACTGACACAGTGCAGAGGGTCAGCACCAATCAGAATGACCAGAGCAAAATGGACATTACTGTTCAATAGCCAGTTTCTAGGTCCAAGCAGCCTGATATGCTCAGCCCCCAGGTGCAGCTAGCTGGTTTCGTCTATTCTCAGTGATAGTCAGAGCCCAGGTAAAATGACATTTTATCCTGACTTTTTCCTTTCAATTTCCCTGTTTCTGCTGCAACAGATAAGGAGATGAGAGAGAAGTGAAATAGTTGCTTTGATGGAAGGCTCCCAAGTTACAACAGGCTTTTGATTTCTGTACCTAAGTTTGAGTGCTCCCTTTCTCTCCACCGAGTGTTCCAAATCCATTCTGTATTTGATTGTACACACTTTCAGTCACAGGCAAACTTCACACAGGGTTTTTTTTTTTTTTTTGCCAGTCAGACTCCTGGGTGCAATCCAGCTTTCAGCTGGTTTTAGGTTTAAGCCAGGTCTTCATTACAACTGACATATAAGTGAAGGAGACCTGAAAAGAGACACAGCCATTGGAAATGCTGTGTAGGTGCTGTGGGCTGCCATGTTGGGCTTTTCCACCTTTCTTCTCTGAGTGATTTTATAGTATTTCATCTGTTGTAAATTTATTCCCACATCTGTATTTAGCCCTCAAGCTGCTTTTCCTTTAAAATACATCGTTTTTTACCTATTATTGGATGCTGGTTTCATCTGATACTGGGTGATTCACTTCAACATCAATATCCAATAGAGACAGGTGCCTCTTGCTTCGCACACAGTATTCATGGGCATACTAAATGCAGAATTACTAATTATGTACAGCTCTCACCCTAGCACCCCAAGAATAAAAAATTTAGATCTAAAACATTTGCTGATATTCCTCTTTGTCAAGTAGTTTTTTTTTTTCATTGATGATTTTATTTCATGCAGTGTTTTAACATTTCTGTTTCCCCTCACCCAAATCCTGCTTGGTACTCCATGCTTACCCATCCACTTACCCAAATCTACACTGTCTTTCTCTGTCATTCTTTAGAACAGAAGGACATATGAAACCACTAGTATTATGATTAATACTCAAAGAACAACAATACAATAAATTTTAATACAGAAACTGGTTTATGATGAAAGACATAAATGATTAGAAGATAGATAGGAAAAGAAAAGTTACAATAATCACATAGATGTGATAAAAACAAGTTTGTGATTATAATCACAGGAATCTTATAAAAACATAAAACTGGAAACCATACTATGTAGAAATAGTGCACTTCAAGGTTAAACAAAAAGCCCCAATAAAGCACTCTGAGACAAATAACCGCTAAAAATTTATTTTTTTGTAGGACTATCTACTTGAGGGCCCTGCCCTCTTAAGAGGTTTGTATGTGCAGGGATACTTCAATGGAGAAATCTAACTTTTTCATGTGCTTTGACTATCAATTAGACATAGCTCCTGATTTAGGGATGTTGGCTTGTGCTGACACCCTCTTCCTTGGTATACAATGGATATCTCTCAGGGAGCAGAGGACTATAACAATGACATCCTACCTCATTACCTTTATACTACTGTCGTGATTCTGCTTTCCAAGTCAGGTTCTGTTGTCAGGGGCCTATGGTTACCACTGTGCAGCAAATCAATCTGTTTACTTCTACTCTTGCTCCATGTATTATTTGAGACTGAATGTTGTAAGACGCTGGTTCACACTCCCAAGGAAAGAACATTTTAACAAAATATTCTTTCTCTTTAATTTGAGATTAAGATTTTATTATATTTCTCTCTTCCTTATTATCTATACATTGTATTGTAAATTAACACTCTCTTTCATACATTTGATCTATTTTTCACTAGTTGATATTGCATATATATATATGATGTAAGCTTATAAGTTATTCTTTTTTAATATTGCTCATATCTTTATTTTCAAGGATGAGTATTTAGACTTGTAGTCTTCATTTCACATCTAACATGTGACAATCAACATCTGTTTTTACATGTCACTTCAGGGAGGTAAGTCATGTAATTTAATGTGGTAAAATTACTTTGAGTTGCTTTTTGAAATCATGAATCATTTTCAATTATATTTCTTACAAATCATCCTGTGGCTATTGTAAACCCCATATTAGTTGTTCTCCATCTTCCTAATGCAGCAACACTTTA